AATGAGGATTTAATCTATGGTCCATAATACACATGAACTAGCACAATCCATTCAAAGTGCTGAAGACAAATACTCATGTGTCAAGTGGATTTAAGTGATCTACCTCACATATTCTAATATATAGTGGGCATAAATGTTGATTCACGTCACATTTCATAAATTGCCTTGTGGTTCCTCACCTTTTTATGTTGAGTTTTGCTAGAGAGAAAAGGCCACGTCGGCCTGTCTCTCCATGTGCCCCCTGTTCGTCCAAGGCCCACGTGGCCCTTGACGAATAGCAAAACTCTTTTATGATTTTTTTTTTTTTTGTGTGCGTGCATTCTTGTCTTAGCAAGTGTCTATGTGTCAATGATGGTTTAAAACCTTAGATAGAGCAGCTGGTCCTCAATGTTTCCTACTGTCATTTTTTTCCTGTTTTCTAATTTCTTTTAGTGTCTCCTTATAAGTATGAAGAAATATGGACATGATTCAGAATCTCTTTTAAATCAAGTTCATAGACTCTTCCAAGTGAGAAATTTATGATTTGTTTGTCTTGTGACTACTTGGCAGTATTCGATAATAACAACATTTTAAAATGACTCCTTTATAGCTTATTGCTGCAATTTATCTATATATTCACAATTTTCTTTATGCAATGAAATTTCTCGAGTTAAATGATTTCTAACCAGTCTTCTCAGGATCCTTGCTTGGGATATTCTCTGATTGAGAGGATTTGGTGGTTGGTGGTGGAACACTTGTTAGGAAATGAAATCTTTTAGGTGCATGATTTGTCCATCTTAGCTGCTATGTTGCTCGAACTTTTCAAAAATGGAGAAGCACCCGTGTCGACGCGACATGACACGGATACTGATACTGGATATGGGTCGGATACTTGGTCTTGTACTTGGACACAACACATCAGAGAAGACAGTGGACAGCATGGAGAAGACAGTGGATGTCGGCAGAAAAGGGCTTTTATTTCTAGTCTTGTGGTAGCAAGCAGAAGGAGGAAGATAATGGAGAAGGAGGAAGCGCAACACGAGCATGGCAGTAGGGAAAAAGGGAAATATGATGGAGAAGAAGCAAGCGCAGGGAACTGCAGCAGGCAGAAAGGAGATGATAGGTTTAGGGGTTTTAAATGGGCTTTTGTCAAGCCCAATGAATAAGTTAGGTTCAATCCTTTTGGTTGGTGTTAAATGGGTTTTTGTCGGACACAGTGAATAAGTTAATGATAGAGGAAATTATGTGGTTTCAAATGTCAACAATTTATACTGCCAAAATTTGAGAATTGTCTCTGCCAAGTTTTATAATTTATTGTAAGTGGCGTGAATTATTGTTTTATTTAAGATAATATTAATTTAATATTTAATTCTAAATTTGTTTGATTCAATAGTTCAAGTTACACTTATCCATTTCAAGTGGAAAATTTCTTGGTTTTTATATTATGACAATTTGGATGTTTAACTTTATTTTTGAATTGTGTTTTGTTTGAATTTGGATTTTATCATTAAATTAAACTTTTGTATTGAAGTAATTTGTTGTTTCGCTTTAATATTGTAAATGTTTGCTTTAATTGAATCATTTTTTAGAAAATAATAATAATGATGATGATGATGAATTGTAAGACGTGTCCTCCTACCCTTATCCAAAATTCGGATAATTTTTAACCGTATCCCCATATCTTAATTTTTAAAATGAGAAAGATCCGACTCCTGGATATGTACCCATATCCGACACCCGCACCCGAGTCTAAGCAACATAGCTTAGCTTATGCCTTTTCATCTTTGATGAGCACTCAGTGCTGCAAGCTTGACTGTGGATAACAGCTATAATTGACGCACCAATATCGTAATTGAAGGGAGTGATACTAAGATAAGAACTTCTTTGATCTCTTTTCTGACATATTTTCAAGTTCTGTTTGTCTCCCAAAGAGAGAATATTACTACCCGATAAGTGGTAACACTTAGATTCAAATTGTCCATTCCCATTAAGCAATAAAACTTTAACAAATTGATAAGAACATACTGAAACACATTTTAGGTTTGAGAGTATATACATTATGGCAAAAATTTTGTGCCTGGAGGTGGAATGCAAACGTGATTAGATCGAGAGAAGAGTAATATGGGTCTTTTAAAAGATAAAGGGCCCGTTTTGCATAACTTTTGCTTCTAGAGGAAGCTACTTCTATTTTTATTTGGAAACTAGTTTTTAAAAGCACTTCTTATTCCAGAAGTACTTTAAGAGAAAGTCACGTTATAGACCAACTTCCTCTAAAAGTTTTTTAACTATCGAAAACACTTTCTTAAAACTAGATAAATGGGTTCAAAAGCAGCCTTTGGAACTCAAAATCTCCTTTTATCTTTTCAAAAGCAACACCAAAAGGGCCCAAAATTGAAGTGAATGCTTTACTCAGGAAAACTTGAACAGTTGAAAGCAAGATTGACCAATTTGCTCTATTGTCATGCAAAAGAGCGTTAATATGTCAATGATTATATTGCTTATTTTTGCAAACATGTTTTCTCGAAGTTGAGTTTGCCTCTTTGTTTATGATCGATTTATAACCTATGAAAACCTGCTAAGCTATCTAACTGAATTGCATTTGCATATGTTGTGGGCCGCTCGCATAGAACTTTGACAAAGCAGGTTGTTTCTCAAACTCCTTGAGTTTCTTCAAATTGGAAATCGCATGAATGATGGAACATTTAGTGGCCGTGCACAGGCATTCAAGCTTGACACACTTATGAAATTGTCAGATGTGAGAAGAAGGGATGTAAAACGACACTCTTGAATTTTGTTGTTGAGATAATCAGTTCAGAATGTTAGATATTTTTTCATTATTTTGCATGTTTATATTTTGTTTTGAGAATGTTTTGTCTCCCCTACTAGTGTTTGCCGCTTCACAACGGGGATTGACCTGCCCGGTCAGGTCGCGGGGGCGTGAAAGAGAATTTTATTTTCAGAAGTCTTTGAATATGTATGTTTCTTCTAACAGATGTTTTCATTCATTTCAAGGGACACACCTATTCAAAAGGTTGCCTCCATTTCTATATATTTTGGGCGAATTCTCATTTAATTAGTTTTTCCAGATTTTCTTACAAATTTTCCAACACAGAAGGTGTACGAGCTTCCAGAGCAGCCAAAGAGAGTAGGAGCATGTCCAGCATCAAGTCTGATGACTTACTTGAGGACTCTTCCCAATATTCAGATGAGTACTTCTGTAGTATCGGCCTGCAAGTTGTCTCAGTTCTAGGTTGCGAGCTTTAAAACGTGAAGAAAGCTGCAGTTAACATTTTTGTGTCTTGGCAATTTAATCGGGTAGTGCAGAGGTTTAGAGAAATGCCAAGGAAGCCTACTCCAATGAAGCTGAGACCTGACCTAGGGGTGGACCCACAATTTAGTCTAAATGGAGTCGAAATTTAACTAAGAATTTTTTTCTGCTAAATAAGACAAAAATGTAATATTAAATCTCATATCTATAATTGTTCCTTATTGGTTTTTATACTTTTAATATGTCATATAATATCTTTATTACAAACTTCATTTAGTACATATTTTCAATATATAACGAAACTATCATTTCCCTACTGCTTGATTTCTTTACAACTTTTTAAGTTTGTCGAATTACATGAATGTCTAGGATTCAAACTTTATAGTTGAGCTCAATACGTGCTACCTACATATTGAGGCACCAAATAAATATTTTATACTTTTTTCATCATGTTCAATTGTTTTTCGTGCATAAAAATACCTAAAGGTAAAGTATGGAGAATATTTTATTGTAATACTCTAGTGAAACTAGTCAAATCAAATAAAATAAAATTTAAATAAAAGATAGAAACTAACCATTTGCCAAGTAGTGACAACTAAAAAAGGGGGAAAAAGAAAAAGAAAAAAAGGAAGTGAAACTCATTTTTAATTAAGATAAGCTCATAACGAGAGAACGTAGAGACAAAAAAGAAACAAACAAAAAAAAATGACGAGAAAGCCAAAATAAAGCTTGAAAAACAAAGAACAAAGAGGAAGAAGAAGCTGAAAAGGAGAAGAGAGAAAGCATCGTTATAAACTTTGGAAAGCGAAAGTAAAGTATTATTGAAATAATTGAATTGTAGTATGGTTAAAATAGCCCAAAAAATGATTCTCACTTGATGTAATATTTAATATACTACAGATTTAGACTCCTCTTAACAAGGTTCATTTTAAGATGGAACTCCAAGTTTTAATAAGGTCATAGCCCATTTAACTTTATAACGAACAGTTTGGTTTGATTAAGACTCTAAAAATGAGCACGCGAATTTCAAGATTTATTTGCTCAAACGAGCCACCATTTTGCAGATGATTGTAAAATGATAAAATCCCACATCGAATAAAGATGAAAATATAAATCAACTTATAAGGATTTGGACTATTCCTCTTAATAAGGTTGACCTTTTAAGATATAGTTTCAAGTATTAATAAATAATGTCAAGGTATAAGATCCCACAACGATTAACGATGAAAAATAGATCAACTTATAAGAGTTTGTGCTATTCCTCTTAATAAGGTTAATATTTTAAGATGGAACCTCAAGTTTTAATATGGTATCAGAACTCATTAAACTCAATGACTTAAAAAAAAAAATAGCAATATTGAATAAAGATGAAAACATAAACGAACTTATAAGGATTTAGATTACTCCAATTAACAATGTTGAACTTTTAAGATGGAACTTCAAGTCTTAACAATAGTATGATCGGTTGAGTGCTAAAAAGTTGGTTCCTTTAGATTATCGTGTAGATCTAGCAACAGAATTGCAAAAAAAGATTCATGAAGTCGATTCAAAATTGAAGAAAAATGCTTATTTTGTTGTCGTGTTTGTACTGTTCAGTTTCTATATGTTAGTTAACTCCATTGATCATCGATTGGAAAAATAGACAGGCAACTTAGAAAAAGACAGACTGAGATTTTATTCCAAGGAAATATACATGGTACACGATGGTGTGCATATTTCTACATTGATGAACCACTGGTTGAGACCGGAATATTCAGCATGGGTTTTTTCGTATGTTGCACATGATAGGAAGAACTCCAGCAAGCACGAGCATCTCCTCCATATCCTCAGCGCTGAGGCGGCCGCTGTCCATCATGTTCTTCATCATAGACCTCACAGCATAGCACACGCACTGCTGATCAATGCCACTCAACTCTTCTTTGCAGCAACGATTTTTATAATATTTTTTAGGATAGGGCAACATTATTGTGGCATCAGATGTATCAAATTCAAGCCTCAGGAAAGTCTCGCAGTTTGAGAAGCTGCGCGTCTGAATCTCTTTCTGGCATTGTTGATTCTCCTCATAATCGATTGTGGTGGTGCTCACGGTGGTTGTCACGGTGGTGGCTAAGGCTTCGTTCAAGGCCAAGAGAGCTAAGAAGAGGAGAGCACCAACACTTGTTATTTTCTTTGCCATTGTAAATTCGATCTCTCAAAGCTGATATATTGATGGTGGAAGAACGATAGTGAAGGGTATTACTATTTATAGTGAGTTCGGAGGCTTGCTTGGTATCTACGTGTCGAAGGTGTGTGTGAAAGGTGGCTATACATTAAATCAAGGTGGCTAAATCTTGCTTCCACGTACAATAATCGCATGAAAATTATTGAACGTGTGGCATGCACGTGATGTCATATGGCGTTGAGGTGGCTACCTTTTTTTCCGTTTTTCTTTTTCTATTTCATTAAAATTCTATGTCATATGGTAACTTTTCTCATCCATTTTTTACATTTCCTCAAGAAAATTAGATGTGCTATTTATGAGCCTAGCTAGTTAATGTTTATTTGGATCAGTGTCAGAACCATTTTCACTTCTCCTACAAGTTAAGGATTCTATTTCACACTTGTAGACCCTTAGAAGTGTAGAGACAAACTACAAATGTACCAACATTAATTCTCTTTATTACTTGTGAAAAGTGATTGAGGAAATGCATCCACTAGCTGTCACCCATCATAAATATTTTAGCATAAAAGAATTTATTGCCAAAGTAAGTATAGAGGAGTAGTATTTAAATCAAGTAGAAAAAAGTTATTTTTGAGATTGAGTTCATGCCTCCTTCAGGGAGATGGGTGAAATCCCTTGATTCCATTTTATAAAAAAAGAAGTCATTCTTGAGATCTTGTAAAGACACTATTCATTTAGGGGCCGCAATATTTATTTAAAAAAAAAAACTGAACATCAAAATAGAGGTACCATAGGCACCCTAATTTCTTTCACCACTTAAATTGACTGTCATACTATCTTGTGTTATTTGTTAACGATGAATGAAGTCTTCGTCCTGACAGTGTGTTGAAATTTTATGGTGCCAAAATTAGCTGAAACTAACCTTTTTTGTATCAATGTAGAACAACACATTGAAAAAATTATATGTTTCAGTAACCTAAAAAAGTCCTCAAATCCCTAACTCCTCGATCTCCTTACTAGTTCATCTTTTTGCCTTTCCCTTTCTCTCTTGATCTCTCATCTCCACTGATCTTCATCTCTGTTCATAAGATAAATCTGGTACTCTTGAAGATTACATCCAGGTGGCTATAGATCTAAAAATAATTAGTCCAGATATCAGTTGTTACCTTTTGAAGGTGTAAGGCTATAGATCTAAAAATAATTAGTCCAGATATCAGTTGTTACCTTTTGAAGGTGTAAGTTTTCCTAATTCACGGTAATTTGCAGTATTTTAGGGAAACAAATGTAATATCTCCCCCTATCTAAGAGGGGTATATTAATAAAATCTCGGAGGTACCGCCCTCCTTTTAAAAAAAAAAAAAGTTTTAATATATTTGAATCCTCTATTAAAAGACAATATGAAAGGTTCTGCTTTTATTATCTATCTTATGTTTCTTTTTTCATGATCTTTACAATTTTGAATTTTGAATTTGATTTGCTGTAATTTTATCTTTTTGTTTATCTATGTCTTATGTTACATTCATTATTATATAAATATCAGCAACAATTGGCGTCATAATTCATTGAGCTGAGGTTTGTTCAATCTCATTTTATTACTATATATATGGTATCAAAACTTAGTAAACTCAATGGAGAAATTCAATTTGGTCTGAAGCACAAATGAGCATTGGGATTCCAAGAGTCTAGAGTTCAAACAAGGCACCATTTTGCGAGTTAAGTGTAAATATCACGTCGAATAAATAATAAATATAACACTATATGGTGATTTGAGCTAATCCGCTTAACAATGTTAGCTTTATAATTTTTATTATGGAACCTCAAATCTCAATATTATATCAGAACTTCCATAACATGTAATAAGGGTAAGTCTTTTATGAATTTTATTGCAGATAATGCTAACAAATAATGATAGTTGTAATATTGAAGTGTATAACTCTTGGCCTCTAAAAAGTTTGTTTCAACTAGAGACGCCGAAATGTATTGCCACATGTGGAGCCAGCCGTTTGAAGCAGGGGGTCCCAAAATTGAACATATAGAGATGAAGGGGTGCTGCCCCCAATTTTTTTTTTTTTTTTGATACCTTATTAACAAAAAAACCAAAATACATATATAAAAAAAAGAACCAATATTTAATTTAGCAAAATCACACTTTATTACAGGTGTTTTTTTTTGAGTTCTCATACTTTGAAGATGGAAACGAAAAATGAAATTGGTAGGGTTCAAGATTTTTATTCAATTTGAGGACAAAATGATAATGATAAATACAAAAAGAACCAAAAAATAAAAAAATTGCAAAAAATTTGGGGAGGTCCTTGCTGTGATCAGCCACAATGACAATATTTTTCAATCCAAGATACTTGTATGTTTGGCATAATTTTTTATAGATTATAAGCAGTGGATCATCCTATAGAATGTGTCAATGTGCAATTAACAAGTTCATAAAAGTTGTAGATCTCATGAAATGTTTGATTAAAAATGATATCTATGCAACTTCAATTAAGCTTTAAAAAACATGCACTCATAAGCATCATTATAATTTTAAAGTGTTACTTGTACCTTTACTTGTTATTAATATTTTGGATCGTTATAAACATGGCAATGATATTGTCATGACATTACTTTTTATTGTGAAATTTGTGATAATTATTGATGTCTTCAGCATTTCAATTTTATGCATGATATTTTTAATAAATAATTGCTCTAGTAAAATACATAAAAAGCATTTTTTGATTTAATTAAAAACCAAATTTCAATATGTATCACAACATATTTTTATCGACACCTAGAGGTCTAGGTGTCGACCTTGATCATATTACAGAAATTCAAATTTATTCCGTACTTGTTTTTGGTGGATTCACGATCTATACAACTCCATCCTACTGACAATGAGTGAAATACATATTTGTTTAAAGCTTATGGGATCATTACTTGTGTCATTAGTCTCATCTTGTTTTAAATCTTGACTAAAAGCACCTGATAGATACTAATTGTTTATGCACATTTCTATTTCTATCACTTCTTGTATATTATTGTGTCGGGAGTAGCCTTGTGTTCCTAAGGCGGGGCGGGCAACAGACGAAAGTGGTGCTTAATAGTGAAGAAAAACTTGTAAAACTACAAGAAATCATTGAATTATTTACCATTGATGTAGAAGAAGCATTTCCTTTCACAGATATATAGCTATGGAAGTTGTCGTATACATATTTTTTCCTCTTAACTTAATTGCTCACAAGCAGACTGTTTCCATCACCCACGCGGTGAAGATGATCAAATTTGAAATGCTTGATTTTCCATGTAATGATAGAAATGAAAAATAAGTTGTTGGTGCGGTGAAGGGAGGAAAAAGAATTAAGTTTTGAGGTGGTTCACAATAAGTGAAATGTCTTCACTTTTATAGACTAGCATATGGCAAAACACTCCTTTTGACTTTCGAAGGTTTTCGAATGAGTACTCTCTTGTTTTGAAATAGCTTAATTACCATATTTGTTTCGAAGATGTGTGAGTTACTCTCAATTCTAACACGATTTTGTCAACTACTAAGAGTAGAAGTGAGGAGTAATTTAAACATGGTGGCCATGCGTGGAAGCTGGAATTATTCAAGCTTTGAACATGGTGACAGCACTAGGAGACGAAAAGGAAAGCAAAAGAATGATGATGGAGGGGAATGAACAAGTGGAACAGCGACGGGAAGCACCTCCGGAGGGACAACTGAAGATGAATACACATGCTGCCATTTTGACTCATATGGACCTGAATGGTATTGTGGAGGCAACCTACTGTGTTTAATGTTTGAATGTAAACTTATGCAACTGGAATCCAACTAGAATAATTTATTTTATTTTACCTTTTTACTTTTATTTAATATACTTAGATTAATGTCTTTTTGGTTAGGAGTTTTCTGTTTTTTGGTTGATTATTGAATAAAAGTTATAAGTTTGGAATTTTCCAAATCTTTCGTTCTCAGTGAGTATCGTGCATAAAAATCATTGGTTTGTTTATAAAGAATTAATTCTCTGTATTCGTGCGCAAATCAACGAGTCTTGTTTATCGAGTATCCGGTATTCTTGCAAAGAATCGATGGACATTTGAGAGTTTTGTTTAGTTATTGTTAATTTATCTGTCCAGCTTATGTCAGAGCCTTTTCTGTTGAAGATGCTGAGGCCCTCGCACTAAGAGAAGATCTGATTTTCACTCGAGATAGAGGAGCCCAGTGAACATAGCTGAAAATGATGCCTTAAGAGTGGTAAAAGTGGCGAATTCAGTCAAATTCTTTGATTGTTGCTGATATATAGCACTTATGTTGGAATTGGGTTGTGGCACTGCACTTGTCGCTGTACTCTCGAGAGGCGAATAAGGTGGCTCACAAACTCTCTTCTATAGCTGCAGAGGGTCCATTACTTGAGTTGATAAAGTTTGGGTTGATTGTATTCCATATCCCATCTTGCCTGGACTTTGAAGCAATAGTTAATAAAATTCTTTGTTTCTGAAAAAGAAAAATGTTTGCTTCGTATTCTTTCGTCATCCTTGGGAATAAGTATTAGAATTAGCTGCTGCATTAATATATTTATAGAAGATATCCTAAATATATGTATCTGTTTTCTCCCTTTATAACCACATTATGTACTGGAAAAGTTTTACAAACTTCGTCTTCCCCATTTTCCTTTAGTTGAAATGGTGTTGAAACATATGTTCTATGGTCATTTTGTTTGTCACAATTTTTTTTCGGAATAGTCATTCTTTGTCGTTACAGAAAATGAAATTTAACATTTTTGTTTTGGACAGCTGCTTTCAGTGGGAAATTTACTGCAATATCATTTACTGATATCCATATATTTGTAGGCCCAATTTTGTTTTTCATGATTTTATTTTCTTAACAAAACATGCCTTATTGAGCATATTCGATACACTACTGTATCATTTTGCATCTCATGGTTTTAATGAACAGGAAGACTGTCGTGAAATCTTGAGGGAAAAGAAGTTTAGTAGTTGGTTGGTCAATAACTATTATGTCGATC